AGTGGTAGAGCGCTAGCCTTGAGCTGAAGAGCTGAGGAACAGCACCCAGGCCCAGAGTTCAGGCCCCACGACCGGACCCCCCCCCCCCCCCAAAAAAAAGTAACCTACTAGTAGTTGGGCAGATTGCTGGGTTCAAGTCTTGGCTGGGGGCCATAGGCAAATAAGTTCTTTTTCATTTGGAAAATTAATTTTCAAAATTATTCCTTTATCCTACAAAAAAGGAGTTGAAGCCAGATAGCAATATGGCTGAAGAGTGAGTGAGGTAGAGCATAGGAAATGAAGTTGACAGGTAACAAGCTTAATTTGACTTGGCAGCAGAAACAGGAAGGGAGTAAGGAAGGGAAGTTGGAGACAACTAGACCAACTACAATATACTAGTAGAAATTTAGGCACAAAAACGATTATGGCCCAAACTGGAGTAGTTTCAGGGAACAACAGAAGTAGAATGACTTGGAGAACAATTTAGGAGGAATATAAAAGCTAGTTAAGGCCACATCTATTTAAATGGGATCTGGGAACATGGCTCAAGTGGCAGAAAAGCTACCTAGCAAGCATGAGGCCCTGAGTTCAAACCCAAGTATTGCCAAAATAAACAAACAGATCACAGAATAGAATAGAATAGAATAGAATAGAATCTGGACACAGGCTAGTAATGCCAGCACTAGAAAAGTAGAGACAAGAGTATTGTGAATTTGAGGTCCGCCGGGGCTATATGCAGACCCTGTTTCAACAAGCTCTATTGGGAATGAGGTACTAGCCAAAGGGATTTGGCTAACAATGGTGAAAGAAGATGAATACGGTCGAAATAGATTGTTAACACGTACAAAAGTAGAATAATTTATATCCGTTGAAATTGCATTGGAAGGGGAAACGTGGGGACGATTGGTTGGAAGATACGATATACGTGCATGTAAACTAATGTATGCTAATAAAATAAGGGAAAAATGGGAACCTGTTTCAAAAAAAAAAGAAAGCAAAACAAAAAGAATCTGGCAGAACTGGCTATAGTTGTCCCAGGAAGGGAATGGATCAGAATTACTTTCTAAGAAGTCTTAAGCTTGAGGATTAACTCAGTTTGTGAAGGAGATTAAGCTTAGTTGAAATTGGTAGCCTCAAATGGAAGGACAGCTTTGAATTTGGCTGGTAGAATAAAGTATAAAGAAAGTAGAATGAGAAGTATCATTAGACTATCCTGAGAAAACTACTGATACTATTCCTCCACTTCTAATGGCACTGTAAGACTCCTCAGAAAGTTGGGAAGTCAGGTTTTATCTCCATTCCTAAAAGTACCACTCAAGGACAGGGACCAACCTATCCTAATTTGCCCAAGATTTTTCAAGTTTTCACATCAAAGGTCATCCTACACCCACAGGTTTCTTCAGGGAAGATTTTTTTTTTCTGTTACCACCTCAAGACACACAAGTATCTAGCAACTTTAAAGGGAAGTTTCTTTTGCTCTGAACCCAAACAGGGAAGTATATATAAAAGTTTACATTTACTTGATGTTCTTTATGGTGTTGTCAAGGAAAGGAAGGGTTTCAAGAAAGAAAGAATGATCCCTTTTTGTCAGAATTCTGATGAAAGACAGAGCCACAGGAAGTAACTGGGCCTCAGAAGAACCGGTTTCTTGGGGGTGAAGGGAAGCTGTTCAGGCAGAAGTAGTAGTATAACCAGTGGAGTGAATGGAAGGCAAAGAGGCTACCAGACAACTGGCTAGTCCTTTTAAAAGGCTGGATTCTGTTGAAAAAGAGTAGAAGCTGAAGGGTTTAATGTTGGATATTCCTTAAATTTTTGTCTTCACTTTTTAAAATAGAATGAAAGGAGAGTGGATAGATCCTGGAAGGCAGTAGATCTATAGTACCTGCTGGCTTGGGATATTCTTTTTCTTTCTCTCTCTCTCTCTTCTTTTGTTTCTGTTGTTATTTTTGTTGCCACTAAAGAAGCATAAAAAGATAGGACTGTTATGATTGTGAGCTTGAACATGCAGAGGAAGAAGTGGGCAAGGGTGAGAGACCTGAAACTGGTCAATATCTAAGGACATTTTTCTTGGAAATGGAAGCAGATGCTGGCTAGAATAACAGATAAAAGTATAGGGTTGGTTTGGTGCTCCAAGGGCCCTAATAAGAATGAAGACAACTGGCTTCCAGATGTAGAAGGAGTAGTCGAGTTGACAGTTGGATTATTCCAGCGTTGAGATTTTGCAGGTGGTAGAGATGATGGAAAGAAAACTAGTAATGTCACACTCTTGCTTTAATCTTTACAGACTTTAAGAAGAATAAAAGAATCTAGCCTCTCCCTGGAAATAAGCTCCATTGTAATTCAGTTGGCTTTACTTTGCTATCCTACCCCCATCTTTTTTCTCTTCTATTCATAAATATCAATTCTATTGACACTACCATCCAATCATCCTGCCTCAGTTTCCCTAAATTCTGCAGGACTTTCAACTTCTAAGCGTTTGCCTCCATCTGGCTAGAATACTTGTCTAATCGTCAAAGCAAAATTTCATCTGCCCCAGGAAGCCTCCCATCTTGCCCCCATCAAGTTAGAATCGCCAGTCATGCTTTCTCAACACCCTTCCTCAGAGAAACTGCCTCACCCAAGAGCTATGAGCCAATGGCCTCAATAATTGGATTACGGTGGCCAATTGGGGATTTTTTTTTTTCCAGAATTTGAGATTGAGCTAGCAGGCCACAGTGGGCAACAGAGACATGGGACTCTCTAGGTTCAGGTGCAGAACTAGTGCCTTCAGAGAATTCAAGCCTTAGTACCAGCATAAAACAACATAAAAAACAACAGGGAGGGAAAAAAAACACCTTCCTTCAAACACCTACTCAGAATCATGTTTTCAAAGTCAAAGCCAGTGGTTCTCAGACTTCTAAGTTCCTATGAACCAGCATTAATATTGCTAAATTTATATTCTCCCAAGAACTATTAAGGAAACAAAACTTCTATGAACACAGCCTTATTTCCTGACACCAAAATTATTGGATTACCACCTAAATACAAAATGCATTTGATTTCATAGTCATGATATTTTGATTTTCAAATATCAAAAAACACATTCCAGTATGTTAAATGATATTTAGCTCCATGCCTGGCATATGATAATCTTCTGTTTTATTATTGGTGTTTAATAAATGTGAATCATCTTTAACACCTTTATCTTTCCAAGGGGATTCCTGAGTTCCTTTGTGACTCTGGACTGTGATCCTGAAGATCAAGATTTCCTGAAGAACAGAATACGTAAATAAAAGACTAAGGAAATCTAGCATCCCCAGAGGTATTCTGAGGAGTAAGAAAGCAATGGGAGATGGGGCATAAGACTAAGTACTTATTACCACGAAGACTACCAACTTGCCTGTGGGAAGGAAAGTGGGTGGAGGATATTTTAGGATACACTCACATTTTAGGAGTCCACTCACATTTTTTTTCTTGAAGTACTGGAGTTAGAATCCAGACCTGGGGTTCACTTGGCTCACTGTTTGGTTGGTGCTCTGCCAGTTGAGCCACAGTTCCGATGTACAATTTGAGGTCTTCATATCTCATTAATATGAAGAGCTCCTCTACCAATTTGAAGAAAGTGTGTACAGTTCCCACTTGATACGTAACGCTGTGGAATCGAGAGAAAAACTTAAAAACAGAGAGTGACTATGAGAACAGAAGGTGCCAGCAGCTTACTGAAATCTCAGCCAGGTTTTGAATCTAGCAGCTCAGCAGACACCAGTATTATGTCTTCCTAGTAATAGAGCCATTCTGGTCTCAGACTTGGGAAGCCAATGGGTAAGGTGAGATCAGACTGGTTCCAAAGTTCTGAATCCACCCCAGCTGGATCAGAACTTTTGATTTTTGTTCTAGAATCACCCAGAATCAAGAGAATCCCTGGCTTGAAGATCTTTAAGGGTGAGACAAGAGGCATACCCTGATACGTCAGGATCACCTAGAAACGGCCTGAGGTTTAAGGCAGGACCTCTGTAAAACTAGTTCTGTAATGTCAGTATGGTCAGAGGGACAAAAGCATCTATGCAAAGTACCGAGGTCTCAGGAAAAATGCTAGGCAACCTGGATTCATTAACTTTATGACTGGGGTCAAAGGTGCAAAAGCCTCTTTCCCTGAACCCCTCTCTCAGCTCGGGAGCGCGGGGGGTGCAGATCAGCCTCCTTTAGCGATCTTGGTGTGAGGGTTGGGGTCGTGCCCACGAGCTGAGGGGTTCGGGGTTCGTGTCAGACAGACCAGGCTGCGCTGCGTGCCCAGGAGGGAGCAGGGGGTAAGAGGAGCTTGGTGTGAAGTCACTAATGCAACCTCCCGACAAATTCCTCCACTCAGCATGCTCCTTCCTCCCAGTTCTCAAGGAAACTTCTAGCTCCTTTCATAGTTAGCGGAAAGGTAGTCCCATCTTACGGCCTTTCCCTCCGTCCCTCCGTCCCCAGTGCTGGTCGGGAGGAGGGTGAGCCGTGGCGGTCTCTGGTCGGCTGGGGGCAGGCTCAGGTCCTGGGCGGCGCGGCCGGGCACAGGCAGCCGCCACCGCCGGCCGGGCTCCGGAGAAGGCGGGGGGACAGTGCGGTGGAAGGAACGCCACTGCAGGGAGAACAACGCTGCGCTGCGGAGGTAACGGGCTGGGACGCCGGCCAGCGGCGGGGGATGGGCGGCGTAGCGATAACGGGACGAGAGCGCCCGGACGTCCCAGTCAGAACTCCGAGCCTCCAACCAGTGCCCTCACGTAGCCTTCCAGCTGCCGGCCTCGCCTCCAGAAGTGACAGCCACGTGGGCCGCGACGCGCGCGGCCGCGAATGGAATGTGGGCGTGGGGTGGGGGGCGGGGCGGGCAGGGCGCCAGAGTGCCGAGGAGGGACCCGCGCGCCGCGCGCCCGGACGCCGGCTGCCTGGCGACGCTGCCGGGAGCGAGCACGTCCTTACGTCACGCGCCGCTCGTCCAATCGTCGGGGGCCAAGGGGAGGCGCTGTGCCCGCCTCCTCCCGCCCCCGCCGCCGCCACTAGCCGCCCCCGGGAGCGTCTGAAGAGGCGCGGGCCGCCGCACCGGCCGGAGTCCCCCGAACAGGCCGCGGGTCCCGACTCCGACGCCTGATGTCCTCAAGATGGAGGCCACGGGGGCGGTGGCGTGAAGAGAGCGGGGCTGCGGAAGAGGGGGCCCGGGTGGCGGCGGCGGCGGCGGCGGCGGCGGCGGCGGGATGGGGCTGCTGCTCATGATCCTGGCGTCGGCCGTGCTGGGCTCCTTCCTCACGCTGCTCGCCCAGTTTCTGCTGCTGTACCGCAGGCAGCCGGAGCCGCCGGCGGACGAGGCGGCCCGTGCGGGCGACGGCTTCCGCTACATCAAGCCGGTGCCGGGCCTGTCCCTGAGGGAGTACCTCTATGGCGGCGGCGGCGGCGGGGGCACCGAGGAGCCCGCCGGGGGCTCCCCCGAGGGCGGCGCGACCCCGGCCCCGGCCGCCGACCCCCCCTCCCCACCGACGCGGGAGACCTGCTACTTCCTCAACGCCACCATCCTGTTCCTGTTCCGGGAGCTGCGGGACACGGCGCTGGCCCGCCGCTGGGTCACCAAGAAGATCAAGGTGGAGTTCGAGGAGCTGCTGCAGACCAAGACGGCGGGGCGCCTGCTGGAGGGGCTGAGCCTGCGGGACGTGTTCCTGGGCGAGGCGGTGCCCTTCATCAAGACCATCCGGCTGGTGCGGCCCGTCGCGGCCTCGGCCGCCGGAGACCCCGACGGCCCCGAGGGGGAGGCGCTGCCCGCCACCTGCCCGGAGGAGCTGGCCTTCGAGGCGGAGGTGGAGTACAACGGGGGCTTCCACTTGGCCATCGACGTGGACCTGGTCTTCGGAAAGTCGGCTTACCTGTTCGTCAAGCTGTCCCGAGTGGTGGGGCGGCTGCGCTTCGTCTTCACCCGCGTGCCCTTCACCCACTGGTTCTTCTCCTTCGTCGAGGACCCGCTGATCGACTTCGAGGTGCGCTCGCAGTTCGAAGGGCGCCCCATGCCCCAGCTCACCTCCATCATTGTCAACCAGCTCAAGAAGATCATCAAGCGCAAGCACACCTTGCCCAGCTACAAGATCCGGTGCGGGGATGGCGCGGGGGAGCCGGGCAGAGATGGGGGGTGGACTCCGGGGTGCGGCGGGGTGTGGTGGAAAGGGAAGCCGGGCCTCCGGGGAGAGGGAAGGGCGAAGGACCCCTTGTGTGTCCGGCTCCTGCTTTCTGCAGGGCGCTCCCGGGTGCACAGGTAAGGTCCATAGCGCATGCTTTTTTCTCCTTCCCCCGCCGCAGTATAGTTTTCTGGCGCTGGAGGTCTCTCCGTGTGATCGGGGCTCTGGGGCACTCGGTGCTGCTACCTAGGCAGCTCCATCTCCCGGGGGTGATGAAAAGGAGCCCCGCCAGCCCGGGAGTCATCCCTGGGACTGTTGAGAAACTTCCCGTGAGCAGCGGCCTTGCAACAGCAGCGTGGGACCCCCGTTGAGAAATCGTTCATGAGCAGCGGACTGGCGTGAAGGGCGTGTATTTAGCGCTGCCACTGCGGCGGGGTTGGCTGCTGCTCTGGCAACTTTGAGGGCACAGGCAGCCGCACTGCAAAGGACTGCTGTCCGCAGGCGAAGTGCGGGGTGGGGGCCGCGCGATCTCAGTTCTGTCACTGCCCCGTGGGGCTAGGGTTTGTAGCAGATCTAGACTCTGCCCCTCAAGTGTCTTATTGGTGGTGTAAGGTCCTGGGCCTAGTGCTTGAAGCCACCGTGCCAGATTCCTGTGATAACCATAGGTAGTGGTCTTAAGTTCTACAGAGCCTTCCTACACCCGATGGCTTAATTTTATGTAACAAGCTGTTGTGATTTGTAGCTGGATTTTCCTTTACTATGGTAGAAATGGACTGGGAAAAGGGAGTTTTATAGGGTTAAAGCCTTCATCCACTTTGGTCTGGGAAGGCTTGTTGTAGGGATGTTAAAGTTCAAAGTTTAACATCTCTTTTAAACCAGCAGATTTTTTTCAGTTCTTCCTGACTTCCATCAATTTTGTGTTCATGAAAATGTTTGAACCTTTCGGATTTTGCCCATCATCATAGCAATCATGTATTAACCTACCTTAATGTCCTTTAGTAGAAGTTGAAGAGCCCTGTTTGTTAGCCCTGTTTTTCTACCACAGGTTCAAGCCACATCTTCCAGAAATGCTGTGGATTTAGAATGTATTTCTGCGTGGAGAGTGGGGCCTATGTACCCTACTAATTGTGCTTTGTTTAGATTATTAGCACACAGTGACAGTTTTAAGACTTGTCAGGAAAATTTAATTTGTAATGGAAATACTCCTACAGAGTTGCAAAAGAATAGTGAACTACTTGTTCACTATGTTTGGTTTCTACTTCTGTGAAATAGAACATACTTTGAAACCTACTTTTTTGCTCTGGAATATAAATAACTAAATTATAAATGAGTTCTACTGTTTAAGCTGCAAAATGCTTACTTATAGCAATGAAGCTAAGTCACTAGAAAAGTTGTGACATTGTGATAATCTATCACAGTGTCAATTCTGATGTTTTCTAGGTATCTTTTCAATTAATAACTTGAACTAAGTTATTTAGAGGGCAGTATCTGGGGTTTAAATTCAAGAGCTCCTATGTTTGTACTCTACCCCTTAAGCCACATCTCAGCCTTTTTTGCTTTAGTTGCTTTTTGGATAGGATCTTACATTTTGCCTAGATGGTTCTTGGACTGCTATCCTACAATATAGGCTTTTGCTGTAGTTGGGACTATAATTACATGATACCATATCCAGTTTGTTTGTTGAGCCTGAGGTCTTCCTGATGTGTGTGTGTATGTGTATGTGTGTACATTTGTGCATATGTGTATACCAGGGCTTGAAACACAGGGCTCACTCTCTAGCTTATCTTTTTTGCTCAAGCTGGTACTCTACCACTTGCACCACACTTCTACCTCCAAAGAAGTCTCTTACTTTATGATCTGTATCCTTGAACACAATAAGTATGGTAAAGCACAACATGACTTTCATTATGCTATTTTAGCTTCTAAATCTTTAGCACTAAATGATCATCTCCAAAAATGTATTAATTTGTGCTATTTATATTAGAGGGTATTTTCACCCATCAGTAGATGCTAGTTGGCAGATTTGGGGCGCTTTGTTCTGTGCTTGTTCATTTTCCGGGTTCTGAGACTTGAGAGCTGATAAAGAATAGACAGCTGCTTTCCACATAGAGTTTAGAATCTAGTAGATTCTAGAGTGGGAATAATGGGTTGAATTAACTAGGAAGCTGATTTTAGCTTAGTAAAGGAAAAACAGAAGTGTGAGGATGAAGACTGCCTTAGGAAGTGTCTGCTTGTTTGTATAGCCACTCTTTTAAATGGTTGGTAATGTTGAGCAGATCCAAGTTGCAGATGAGGGAATGAATTACAATACATCTAAGATGTGTCATCGGTCTCATAATGAGAATTAAAGTCACTGGTGTTGATGTAGATAAAGGAATGGAGCTCAGTACAAAATTTGCTTATAGTCACACAACTGTCAGTCAGGTGGTGAAACCTGGCTCTAATAAAATCAGGCTGCCTTTTAAAAAACTATTCTGTGTCATGTTAAGGATCCTTTGTTTTGAAGTATGCCATCAATGTAGTATATGTTGAATATCTTTCCAGTGTGACTTACTATTTATTACTATTATTTATTTATTTGCTGGTTCTGGGGCTTGAACTCAGGGCCTGAGCACTGTTTCTAAGCCTTTCTGAGCGCAAGGCTAGCACTCTACCATCTGAGCCACAGCGCCACTTCCACCTTTTTCTGTATATATGGTACTGAAGAATCCAACCCAGGGCTTCATGCATGCTAAGCAAGCACTCTACCACTAAGCCACATTCCCAGTCCCTAAAGCTTTTATTTCTTAAATTGTAAACTTTGAGAGGATCTTTTAAAAATTCAAATTATAAGATTAAGTCTTTGGGTCCTGTTCTAAATAGCACTTCTTTTTTAATCTAGCAGATTGTGTTTCCAAATAGAAGGTCTTGCAAGTTTATCCACTTTATCCATCTAATCTTCTTAGTAGAGCCAAGGTAGTAAAGAAAATTGTTTTGAATCTTAGGGCTTTTAGGGACTTTTAATTATTTTGTACAGAAATATCTCACCACTTAACATTGTTGTCACTTCTTCCCCCTTTGTTTTCCCTTTTCCATTTTATTAAAGTGAAGTGGCCTGACAGGAGTGCCCAGTCTCAGTGTTTCATCTAGAGATGCCCAAAGATACCTTTGGAAGGACCTACCTGATTGACACTTACATAACTAACACATTTTCTTTAGAAAAGATGGACTTTTACAAACTGAATTATAATATGCAGAAAATGTGTTTCTGATTTCTTAAAATCAGTTTTGAGTTTGATTTCTTAAAATTTTAAGTTTTTATTTTTTCTAAAAAAAATGTATTTAGTGTGTTAAAGTAGTAATATTTTTTTAAAATATTAACTCAAATTCACCGTCAAGAAAGATTACTGTTCACGTTCTTTAAAGTACATGGAGACTCTGATGTTAAGACTTGAGTAATAGTCCTTGGTCTCTTTTTTTCTTTCTTGTTTACAAATTATTTTTTTCAGTTCTGGATTGGACCCAGGGCTTTGTGTAGGCTAAGCAAACATTATTACCAGTGAGCTACATCTCTAGCTTCAAATGGTTTTGAATAGTGTTACATCCTCTCAAAAACTTTCAGAGTAAATTCACTGAAACCTGATAAAAATCATACAACCTGAAGTTTTAGTGTCATTTATTTATTCATTGACTCTTTCATTCTTTTCTTTAAAAATGTAACTAAGCAATTTTTTGAAGGGATTTTTCATTAGGTTAGAAAATACTTAATAGAGTTACTAATGCTGGGCACTGGTGGCTTATGCCTGTAACCCTAACTACTGAGGAGGCTGAGATCTGAGAATCACTGTTTGAAGCCAGCCCAGGCAGGAAAGTTTGTGACTCTTATCTCTAATTAACCACAAAAAGCTGGTGATGGAGATGTGGCTCAAGTGGTAAAGTGCTAGTCTTGAGGGTGGAGAAAAAAAAAACCACCTAAATTCCCTTAGTGATTATGGCACCCATAGTTATACTTAGATTTGTAGAGAATGTGACTAACATTGAAACTTCGAAATAGTAGAGACAATGACATTAGTCTTCTACTGGAATAATGATGTAATATAGTAGCTAATTCTTCAGTCTCTTGTGCTTTTTCTTGTACTGTTTATATCTCTTTGTAAATGGAATTACAAGATAATTTTTATAGAGAGGAATTATAAAGTCATAACAAATAGTTCTTTATTTTCAGTTAAGTGGTCACTGCAGACTACTGTACTAAGTGTTGTTAGTATTTTATGGGTGAGAGAAATGATTAGATGGTAGTTCATGCACTAACACTGGTTTATTTTTTAGGATAAACACATAATAAAAGCCATTATAATGGCATTGGATATATTTAAGACCTTCAGTTTGTGAGAAATAGGAAGAGGAAAAAATCAGTATCTCTGCTAAGACAATTAACTGATTACTTTGTTGTTACATATAGTATATATAGTAGAAGCATGTGTATGCAGGGCTCAGTACTTTCTGTAGAGTTTGACATCCACTGAGGTCTTGAGGTGAATCCACTGTAGATGACAGAGGACTGCTGTATAATATATTGTGACCTTAGAGCTTCCTTAGTACATATGAGTTTGGCATTAATTTTACTTCTTTGTTGTTGGATTTCCTGAAGCAGCTATGAATTACTGTGATTTAGATTTAGATGGAAAATAATTCATTGATAAATCTACTGTAAAAATGTGATTTATTCAGAGAGGAGAAGAGTAATTATGAGCACACTAAGGTCTAATCGGTTATGTATAAGTTAATTGACTGTCCCAGAAAGCTATAGGTTGTTCTTGCAAATAGCCCAAAACAGATCATTACAAAGTAGATTGAACTGGAAGAACATGTCTGATCAAACATTTCACACTGAAGTACAGGTCCATCTAACAGTCCATCTCCTTTCCTCTCAATTCATTCAAGCATTTTGTTATTCTTAAACCCCAAGCATGCTTTCAACAATGGGTCTGCCTTT